TTATATTTACGTTTACATTTAACATTTATATTTAACATTTATATTTACATTTAACTTTTATATTTACGTTTACATTTAACATTTATATTTAATATTTATATATAGACATATCATTTATATTTACATATGATGAACAATTGTGCAAATAATCTACACAGCAAAAAATATGATGATCCACAACACCATTGACTTCTAGCTAAATGTCAGAAAATTGCACTAAATGTTGAAAAAGTGGCAAGTACAAAAATGTTTCGTAACTTTACAAACGGCGCCCCATAGTGTGGGGGATGCTGAACATTTAAGCATAGCTACAGTGTGCCGTGAAATCAGGAAGGTTTAGGTTGCATTACATTTTTAAATATACTCATATCTTTCCTGGCCACAGAGGCATTCTTGGCATTAAGGAAGCTTTCTTTGGAATTAATGGTGCTGAATCTTTTAACATGTAGTCATTTACAACACATAAATCATTACCTGTACACAGCAAATACTGGATGGGTTTATAAGGAAGAGACAAATGTTATTCGCTGCAAAATAGTTTCAAGTTCATACGGCTAGCATTTCTGAGCAAACAGAAATTGTTTCCTCATCCAAAAGTGGGGAGAAAAAGTCACTGCGTCTTATGGTCCGAATATTGCTCTGCTCACATGCTTTACCCTTCTGGGGTCGAGTGCTTTGTCGGCGACGCAGCGTACTTTTCGCGTCTATTTCAGTTTATATCTCGCTGAAATCTTAATGTAGAATCATGAAAAAACGCTGGCTAAATCCGTAATCTGTCTTTTCAAAATTAGGTTAAATCAAAAAATCAAACCATGTCACCTTACTTTGTTTTACCTGAATCGGGGCGTCTAGTACCGCTGTCACCCGAAGATCGCTATTCACATTCTAAATAGCTGCATTAGTGCGTATTCAAATCGCATTCGCATGGAAATTTGCTGAACAACGCAGCGGTGAAACGCGATCCAGATACATCCCCATCAGCGCCATAAAAGGGGGGAGGGATGTGGCCAGGTAAGGATGGTTGACAAAATATTTTAGGACACTATTTGGTTCAGATTTTTTTTTTTCTTCATTTCCCTCCTCTAAAACTAGGTGCGTCTTATATAATATGCCGTGTACAGTTCTGTGCAAGGGCCATCACCTCAGATGGGGTACAGGCTGCTGGAGGTGGGCCCCCACCGGTTGCAGCAGTCGCAGCTCTCTTTTTGGTGGCAAAATTATACAATGCAATGTGGGCTTTAAATGAATTGTTTAAAAATATAGTCTTTGTAGTCCTCATAGGCTTGCAGTAATAATTATTGCTCCGCTTGGAGGGGAAACGCAGCTCTTTCCTTAGTTTCCATTCTTACTTATCCAGCATCGATTAACAAGGCTGCCTTTTATATCGCGCGGACGCGCACGAGCCTCGCTTGTCAAGCTTGGCTTGAATTAGCGGAGATGAAATACACCTGAATTTTGTTCTTGGAACTCAATGAGCCTGAAGTGAACTGTTAGGCTAACTCAAGCGAGGCTATTACAAATAATCCTCGATTTTATAAGCTCGCTTCGTGGAACAGCCCCCAGATAATCCATGTCAGGGAGGACACTTTGAGCTACTTCGGGTTTTACAAACTAATTTCAAACTGAAAGGCTCGGCTAATTAGTTCAATTTTTCTTGTGCTTTGACTGGTTTGTTTCGTTGACTGAAAGACTCATCGAGCTGTTTCACATTAGCATTAGTGACACATGCACGATTATAGGAGCCTGACCAATTAGCACACAGCTAACAATCCAGGTCCTTTTAATTAAAATGGTAATTTACAATTCGTGTCCTAGCTCAAAGTGTCCTCCCTGACATGGATTATC